TTTGAAAACAAATAGAAAGATGACCAAAGAAGACTAGACAATCTCGTACTAGATCAAATAAGAGAAGAAGCTAGATTAAAAATCAAAGGAATAGCATCACAATCAGAACAACAATCCATACAATGCTTACAAGAGAAATTCAAGAGAACATTAGATCTTACATTACAATTGGATAAATTAGAAATAAGATTCGTAGAAAATATGCCACCACCATCTCTCAATATATTTGATAAAATAGAACTGCATGCAAAAGAACTCAAGTCAGATAACAACGAATTATGTTCTCTTCGAGAACAATGGAAAAATATTTTACGAAAAACAAAACTATATCTGACAATGTTAATGAGACGAGCGAAAATAGTTGAAATAGAACAAGCAAAAGCAGAATACAATCAATTGTTAAACAAACTTTCAGATCATTTGCGACAACCCCATGAAGCCATTTGTAATGTAATACGAAAGAGACATGAACAATATGCAAAAAAGAAATTGAATTTTTTAGCAAAAAGGGCGTGCATGATCAACGAAAACTAATGCACGCCCTATCACATCATCATCCGAAATATCCAAAAGCAAAATTGCATCCACACTATAGTCGAATTAGTTTTCCACCTCAGGCAAACAATAAAGCTTACATGCTACAAGACACGGAAGCTAGAATACTTAACTTAGGACCAAAATCTGTCCCACCAGCACCCGAACAAGTTCTACAACGACTTCCAAAGGAAATCGAACAAATGAATGAAAAAATTTCAGCAGTTTGGAGAAGAGTTACAAAAACTATAGGACGAAATCCGCCGATAGTAACGAAGTTTTGTAAACGAGTAGAAGAGGAAGTAAGAAATACAGTAACAACCGATGCACCAAGAGATCCCACATTAAAACCAGCTATAACATTTTTTCGAAAAATTCAGAAGAAAAATGGCATCATCTTCAGACAAACAGATAAATCGAAAGTCTTTCATATTGATACAAGAGAAAACTATATAAAAAAATCTGCACAATATATGGACAAAACAAATGCGCATATAGAGATACAGTCATCACCACTAAGAGAAATGATAGAAAAAACGGATAAATTTCTACGAAATTTAGTTTCAAGTAAAAGAATGCCACAATCATTATTAGGGAAGTTGAGACCTTCCCTAACAGAATCAGAATTACCTCACCTGTATTATAATCCAAAGGATCATAAAATAAGCGAACCACTTAGACCTATCGTAAGTGGAATAAAATCTCCACTAGCTAAAATATCTAGTTTTCTCGATCAGAAGATTCGTCCTCTGTTTGACAGGCATACTTCGTACTCGATTCCCAACTCTATGATACTTCTAAAGCGTTTGAAAGAATTTAAAGCAGCAACCGAAACAAATATGTATACATATGATATAACGGACCTATATACCATGATCCCTCAAAAAGATGCAGTAATGGCTGTATGTGAGTTTCTAGGAAGATACGGCTATAGAAAAATTGGTGGTCTATCAATTAATACAATAAAGATTTTATTCCTACACGTATTGGAGAACTCATATTTTGTTCTTCAATTACCAGGATTAAAACCAAAATATTACCAGCAAATTAGAGGAGGAGCAATGGGGTCAGCATGTACTCAGGTGCTAGCTGACATCTACATAAGAAAATGGGAATCTAGTTTTGTGCAAGAGCAGCATCGGCAACATGAATTATATTATAGATTTCGAGATAATATCTTTTTTACTAGCAGATTACCATCAGAACACATAGAAATGATCTTGCAAGACTTAAATAAAAAAGATCCTAATATAAGTATAACTTGGGAAAAAGGAAAGACAATTGAATATCTAGATGTAAAGATTATCACAGAAGTTCCCAATTTTAGAACAACAGTATTCCGAAAATTAGCGGCACAACCATATATACTTCCATTTCACTCGTCACATCCCCCACACATCACAAAAAATATACCATATGCCGCAACCCTACGAGCAACACGCATATGCTCACATTCGGAAGACCTTCAACGTGAACTAGAAATAATTCGAATAACTTTGCTACTGAATAAATACCCACCACGATTTATTGATAAGCATATAGGACGTTTTTATCAAGACTTAACAGGAGAAAAAACATCAGAAAAACTCTTAGGTAAAGATCACTCAAAGTATAGGGAATTAGTATTGAATGTAGCATGGAATAAAAACGAAAGNAATTGATGAATATTGATTGAATAAGATTTTTACGAAAATAATTAAAATATCGTTCTGTTAAACAAGTTATATATTCATTACTTAATATTAGTGATTCAGGTTGAAGAGTATTATTAGAATCATTAAATAATCGATGAATGTAGCCATATTCAGCAAATCGTATTTTATCAAGTTTTATTTTTGTATAATAATCAATTATTAAACGATGTAAACGTGTTTCAGGTTTTTCAGGTGTATAAAACGAATAAAGAACATAAGCTGGTGATAAATAACGACAAATAAGAAGTAAAATTTCATTTGGTAAATCTACTAAAGTAGTTTTATTGTCATGAAAATTTTTTAATGATAATAAAGAATTATCAATATTCTCGTTAATACGTCTCATATTATTGTTCAAAACAAAACTTTCAAGATGAAATAAACATTGCCTAGAGTATTGTTTTTGATCATTTCTTTCTATCTAAATAAATAAACAACATTTGAAAGATATTGTATTAAAATAAAAGCATACTTAACCGATTCAGATACATATGATGACCTCACAATTGAGGATGCCTAACACAGTTAGTCCAGAAAGTCTAATCTGACATGTATCCTCTGAATCTTTCATGACTAGCCATCTTTACATAGTATGTCCGGCAACTACATTCAAACTAGTCCAAAATAAAAAAAAAGGAGACGAACATAAAATTTGAACATTCGACTCAATGATATATCACACATGACCGATACTTTGATACTAATTAATGATCGACGTTATGTTAAATAGTCTAAATAGCAAAATGATATGTCTTCGTTAAATATATATTATTTAAAATAATCGTCACTAATTCATTTTTGAGAGAGTATTGTTGATACATTTCAGACTAATCTAAAAATCTAGAAGCTATTCATTTAGATTAATCCTTATCGAAAATTTATAAGATGTTCAAAAAGTAATACCCTATTGTACTCTCAAACAACAAAAGATATCGTCACGATTTTTCTACTATTTTGAAGAGTTTGCTATAGCATTTTATTGTAGATGAAACAAGTCGATTGGTTGTTTGATTCTTTAACGAATAAACCCTACCAATCGATTAAAAATCTTACAGCTCATATCGTGCCAATAAATAGAGCTTGGATGTGAGTGTTGATGCTCATTATAAGAATATGCTCACCAAACAGCTATACCCACATTCTATCTTGCAATTCATAAAAAATTTAAAAGAATAATTCTTGATTTTACAAAGACAAAAGAAAATATTTCGTTAATTGTTCTTTTATAGTGATGATGAATTGAAAAAAAAACGATTTTCACGTGATTTTGATGGTGAACCTGGAACTGTTTCATATATATCGTGTTCGTTTATTACTAACAATGGAGGTATTTCTATTGTAACCGAGCTAGACTTGATATTTTACCACCAAATGAAAACTCTCACCGCCACACTAACAAGGTTAAAATATTAGCTGCTATTGGCTTGCCTAGAGAGATATATTAAGATTTTAAATTTAGCTATAAAAATGAATTAGCAAAGGTTTTTATCCACTATTATAGGGACAAAACACAGTGTTGCGCGAGCCATATGAAAAAGAGACCTTAGAAACCCGATAATCGCCTAAAACAACATTATGTTTTGTCCTTATAATAGTGGATAAAAACTTTTCCTGATTCATTTTTATACCTAAATTTAAAATCTTAATATCTCCTTCTAGGCAAGCCAACAGCAGCTAATATTTTAATCTTGTGAGTTTGGTAGTGAGAACTTTTATTTGACGGCAAAATATCAAGTCTAGCTCAGTTACAATAGAAATACCTCCATTGTAAGAAGAAAAGTTTTTCAAGATGATATTCACCTTGAAACAATTCGATCGTTTATATAAGAAAATTCGAGTAGAAATAAATATTTTTGAAATATATCGGTGAATATTAATTTTGTATGAAGACAATAACATATCATAAACGATATGGTATAAAGATTATAGTAGATGTCTCACAAAGAAGCTGTTTCGTTCATGACGACTATATAAAATGTAATAAAAGATTTCGAATACCGGGAGTATATACGTAAATTTTTAAAAAATTATATTTTAGTTTATGACTCTTTTGAAATAGTTGTTTGCAAATAAGAAAACTAATAAAAATTATTTTGTACTATAAAGTTTAGTTAACTTAACAAATAAAGTGAAATTTTTTATGTTTTTTTACATTTTTTAAAATATTGCTCATTACACGTAGCAATCATATATTGAATATTTTTCTTACTATCATTCTCATTTCTCAAGCATTGTCAAAGATATATAAAATACACAATCATTATTGATTAATTCATATACACAAATATTGCTGAAAAAAGAAAATAGATTGAATTTTTCATTTAAGTGAGTGCGGCACTTTTTTTATTAGTGAGTTAGTTGAGAGGATAACTCATGATGTATATAGCATTAATTATGCTTGCCGTATGGTCTTTATCAATCATATTAAAAAGAAATTTTTCTCTGCGTTGTTGAGAGAAGAACATTTCATTATTGAATTGAAAAGCGTCTCAGAAAATTTAGCTTCCATTAAAGCTTTAGAATTTTAAAAGTAATGTTTCACATAAATCGAAATCATTTGATGCACGTTTTACTTTTCTTTTTATAAAGAACATACTCCATGATGTTTTGCAATGTAATAAATAAGGAATAACTCATGACGAACAACTTAGGACGTCGACTATGGAATTTCTTTCGACAAATCAATATATATTTGAGGATGGTTCGGACCGTAATGATGTCATTGAACATCAAAATTTGTCTAAAAGTATCTATATAATTTCAATATTTATTTTACTCGTTATTGTTGACATTTTTGCTTTATCCATTGTTCATTCAACAAATGAAAATGTACGTTTATTATCTCTAAAATAATTTGAAACTTTATTTGAACATTATTCTTCAACACTCACATGTCCATGTTCTAAACTTGCCATTCCATATGAAGCATTTACTAGCGTGAAAATACGATTCCACCAAGTCTGTCGTAGTTTATTCATATCACAGACATAGATTGATTCAATCTATATTGATCGAAAATTTTCCACCGTAAAATTAGAAAACAATTTTCTTTCAGCTCTCAATGCTTTTTGGCAAAGGGTATGGGGTGTGGGTGTGAGTGCGTGTGTCGATCTCAATAAATGGGAGATTAACACCCACACTCCACACACCCACACCCACAGCCACACTCACACCCACCCCCACCCGCACCCTCCTATGCGTTCGTAGACATAATTGCAATGAGAAAGTATCCAAACATTAGGGAAGCCAGGAAACAGTCTTATCCATCTTTCTGCCGTGTAAAGTGACAAAGTAATTTTAAATTTCAGTGACTGTAAGATTGTAAGTGTCACAATATGCACTTCGACTTGTATTTTAAATCAACGTCTGTATATTCATACATTATATGTAATTTTTTTTGTAGAAATTGTACAGGAATCTGTTATTCTATATTTTATTTTATTTCACATTGTCGAAAAAGTTAGTATAAGTATGACCGATGCCATATTCTCGACTATTTTCTCGTTGAAGTACTCTTTGTTAAAAGAATTGCTCATTATGTTGCTTCATCACAAATGAATTTTATCTGATTTTATCAAAAAAATAAGCCTATAAAGCAAAAAGTCTACCTTATAGATTGCCATGTAGCGCTGACAAAGCTCTATTTCTATTATGTATTTTTGCTTTTAAGATCAATGAACATGTCGAGTTTCTAGATGAAAGCAAGTATACATTGAAAAGAAAACAGGAAGTTGCCACAATTCTGTTAATGTACATATTTATTTTATTATCCTTGAAATCAACGACTTGATCTATCACTAGTTTTGTATACTTCGTGACCATGAAATTTCTTTTATCTTAAAAAATGCACATCATCAATATGAGAAAATTGCAACATGACATATTATTATTGCCTACGTCATTCTTAAAAGGCGTTAAATCTGTTTTTTTTCTGCTTAGCTCTGTTTCATCTTGTTTCTCTTATCATAGTGCTTATTATCAAAAAGAACAGCGTTTTGCTTCCATATAATGTCAATGAATTATCTTGTTGCAATTTCTTTGTCTACATGGATGTAAGTACCTATTCGATATGGTCAGCTAACTCTCCTACTGCAACACAATTCGTAACGAGATTTTATTATTTTGCTCTGCTGATAGTTTTTAATGAAAGCATACGTAGAGTTGTGAAAGGTCTAGAATTGTAAAGCAAACACGTCTCTACAAAAATGAGACATATCGAAACGCTGTATGTTTCTCTATTTACAAAATACAGTGAAAAAACTAAACTTTCTGAAATAAGCTTGAAAAGAGTGTGTTGTGCTTTTCTTTTGTGTTGTAAACAGAAAGTTACTTTTTTCAATAGAACGAATAAGCATGTAATAGCAACTACGAGTTGAGTTTGCGCAGTATACAGATCTTGCTTTGATTTGTATGAATGTCTAGTGTGAGGAATCTGCATTTTTATGACATTTGATAATTGCAATTCAATATTTGATTCGCTGATAGTTGGACGAATATCGGTCTGTAATATGTGACTAAAACAATCTGACCAATCCAATCCTAATCAGTGTTGTAAATTGTTTTTGTGAACCTTTTCAGTGAATTTAATATTTTTCAATTTTGAAAGGAACACGGTGAGGGTGAGATATTTTCTTTTTCTCTGTGAATATCATTAGGATTGACGAATCTTTTTATTTCGCCGTGATTGTCAGCTGTTCTTGATAAATATTTTCAATGAAACTCAAATCACTTAATATTTTTGCACTTTGACTGGCTTTAACCGCTTTGAGTTAATTTAATTTAATGCTATCGATTGTCGCAGTTGATTTCAGAATTTTTCGTTTATGTTCAAAAACCGATGGGTGCACGCCATGCTATTTAAGAGAGGCTCCGTGAGATCACCGAACATCGCGACCGGGGAAACTTTTTTGTTTCCGATTTTGACCATCTGCCCGGATAGAGCATCGAAAATAACCGACAAATCTCAATTTTTTCGGCTTTATGTTGTAAAGACAAATTGTCAGCTACGAGTGACGATCAATATGGACTATTTTTTGGTCCGGTATCTATCACAGGTTGTATTTTTCAATTTTCTTCAAAGCATCTCGACGGATCCAGTCCATTCAAATTTTATTAGATAGCCCGTGAGTTGCTCTACAAAAATCAGTAATTTCAAAGTATCTTGTCTGTCTAGATTTAAAGCCAGGCGAAGATGAAAGCTAAAAAACATGCCAAAAATTAGGGGTCAAGACACGTATTTTTTCGACCCTGGAGCCCTTTGCGACTATAATTGGAGCGACACGAAAACTTTTATTAGCCCATTTTGTAGAGCGTTTTAAGCTGCATCTAACCATATAAAATTTATCG